TAGGAGGGTCCCGTAGTGCAGGGGTTTGCAGATGGCAACGTAGCGGTCATAGGCCATGACATTGAGAAGAAAATACTCTGCTGACATAAAAAAGAATAAGAAAAAAAGCTGGGCCACACACCCTTGGTAGAAGATGTCCCTGGTGCCCCAGAGGGAATTGACCATGGATTTGGGCATGGTGGTGGAGATGGAGCCGAGTTCAACAAGGGAGAGATTTAATAGGAAGAAGTACATGGGTGTGTGCAGGTGGTGGTCACAGGCTACGGTGGTGATGATGAGGCCGTTGCCCAGGAGGGCAGCCAGGTAGATGCCCAGGAAGAGCCAGAAGTGGAAGAGCTGCAGGTCCCTCTTGTCTGCAAATGCCAGGAGGAGGAAGTGGGTGATGGAGCTGCCATTGGACATTTTCTTCCTCTAGGCATGGGACCTGTCCAAGGAGCAAAATGCATCAATTAGTCAGGATAGATTTATCTGAGCAAAATCTGTTCAATTTTCACCTCCAAAACTTCCGCTTTCCTTTCACAAAAAATTTTTGCAAGTTCAGGAGTTTGAGTTTCTGGAAACCTTCATGAGCTCTGCTTGATGTTGGCTTAGTGTGCCCCAGAGAGTAGGATGCTCTGCTGTGGGCTCTGCAACATTCAGTCCTGCCCTATAGAAGTAGGTAAATAGGAACTCAGGGTGATCTTGGATTAAATTAACTCATGATATCAAGGAGCTTTTCAGCACTGTCACTCCCAATTCACAGAGAGACAGAGCTTAGCTGAGGGGATTTTATTTCTGCATTTTTTTCTAGTTGCCCCACCACAGCTGAAGACTTTTGGAGTATTGGGCAATCCTGCTGCACTGCCAGTGAAATCTTGGGGGTCCTGAGAGGCAAAGAGATTGTCCCTTAGTGCAGAGGGAGGACAGCCACTCTGTCCATCAGCCCTGGGCTCAGCTGCCCTGTGCTGGCAGCTCTTTCAGCTCCAGGACCATCGCACTCACGGGTTCCCCCTCCAGTTTCCCAGTGCAGATCTCCAGACCCCTCAGCCCATTGTACCTGCATAAGATCTCAGCTCTGCCCTCCCTACCAGGGACACCGAGGGCTCATGGCAGCTGCCCACCTACAGCCGCCCAGCAGCATTACAGTGGCCTCAGCACCCAGGGTTCCTCTCCAGGGGGCTCCTGCATAACATAGAGGTGCCATGGGAGACCTTTGCCCTACTGGAGGGCAGCCTGCAGCCCAGCAGGACCTCCCAAGGAAAGAGTCCCATCTCCTCCCTTTGTTACCTCCTGAAGAGAGGCTGAGATCCCTGCCAGCCGCACACACGGCAGTACGTCACAGGAAGTGAGTGGGATGCTTTTCCTCCATGGACAGACGTGCATGGCAGTGTACACAGCGTTGGTGCCTGAGCTGCACTTGAATCCTCACCCCCCCACCCCAGGGAGTGTAACAGTAAGAGCAAGGGTGGCAGGGAGAAGAGGAGAAGATGCCCAAGGACCCCTTTGCAAGGGAGGCAGGAGAGGGAGACCCAGTCAGACACAGGGGTTTGTTTCCTCCTTGGCGGTCAGGCTGCTGGGAAGGCAACTCCTGGCCAAGTCTCCATGACATTGAGGGCAGAGGCTCTGCTGCGTGAGTGAGGAGACCAGGGGGTGGCTCCAGGGAAAGCGTCTGCACTGCAGGGGATGGCAGGGAGATGCCTGAATCCCTCCTCCCACAGCATTTCTGGCAGCAGTTCTCTCTTCCTTCCTGACCATGGCTCTGCTGCCTGCAGCTCTTCTTGGCCAGGACCTGTTTCTCTGTCCCCCCCTTTTCTCCCTCTGCATGCTCACAGTCCCCATCCCACCTGCTGTGTGCTCAGCTCTGCCCTGCAGACCCCTCCTGGCAGCAGGGCACTGCCCAGGGACATCTCCGTGTGTGCAGGGGGGAAGGAGCAGCTCAGACAAGTGCTAATTGAGAACTGGGGTCTCACTGCCTACTCCAGAGCAGAGAAATAAATTCCCATC